AATTTAATAAAAAAATTTTTTTCAAACTTTTATGTTTTAAAAAAATAAATAAAAATTGTAAAATAGATAAAGACATAACAATAGACCTGTGCACAACAATTAGAGTAGTAGGTGGGCTGTTGCAAGCGCTCTCGGTCAAACCCATCACTGCTTTTTCATCAGCTATGTGCTTGCGAAATAATACGACTCGCTCGGAATGAGGAATGACATGAGGCATTTTTGAGAGTAAAAGTGCTGCGCCGCGTCGTCCCTTTTCCAAATCAGCCAAGAAGCCAGACACTCGTACTTCCTGTAAAAAAAAAATTATAAATCACTATATATCGCAAATATTGAAACTGACACATAATACAATCTCTTTATTTTAATTACACGAGGAAAATCAGAAAGTAAAGTGAATTTATTTATTCCTGTACATCTGTAATTTATATCTGTAAATGAAAAAATCAATATTAAAAAATATTACATTCATTTTTAAAAATATTACATTACTAGAGAAAGTTTTTATTAATTGATACAATAATGTTTTTTTTAGACCTGTAACATAAAATTTTTATAATATAAGTCTAAAGTATTCATAAAGTATAAATTAAAATATACTTAACTTGGCTAACCAGTGACCTTCCGGGCAGAACGTTCTGCGGCAATCACGTCGATATATTGCCATTAAAAGAATGTAAAGTGAGATAAACAAAGGATTGTTGGATACCGACTTCACATCTATAAAATACAAAAAATTGCATGCATCTTCGTATATTAATCTTATAAATTTTTTGTCTATTTTTCTTCTTGCAATTTTAATTAAGCAAAAAACAATAACAAAAAATGACAGAAATCGACTTACCAAATAAATTAGTGAGAACCGCTTTGTACAAAAATTGATTTAAAAAATATGACATAGTAATGAAGTCCGTGAGCTTGAAAGGATCTTGATGTTCGTACATTTCCATATCGTCTAAAATGCTGAAATTGGAAAATCAAGAGATTAGCGCACATATGAAACGAGACTAAATTTAATCAAATTGTTTGAAAAAAAAATCATATTACTTACGTAACATAGTGCGTCATACAATCGGCGAACAGTATCAGCATTTGGAATTCAGGTGCTGTGCATTTGGTGTTAGCCGCCAAGAGATCTAGAAACGCTTTTAGACCACAGTGGGGTCCCAAGGTGGTCAAAAACAGCCACATGTGATAAAGAATTTTGCCTTGATAGCATAATCCTATTTTTATATATACGTGTTATTAGTTGATATTTTTGTATATATGACCTTGTGTATATGGTTATGCACTGATTTATTACACATACCCGTTAATATCTCTATCTTCATCTGTGTGAGCGTATGCAACGTAGTTTGATATAGAGAACAGATTAGAGCTATCTTGGTAGCTTCCGGACTGCCCAGCTTTCTGTAGTTTTTGGTGCTGTTGTTCCTATTAGTTCGAGCCTCAAGAAATGCCCGCCGGAAAATATTCGCGCCTATAGAAGAGGTACTTTGCTGCTCTACCGGAGGTGGTACCTCTTTCTCGACGAATTCGATTAATGGCTGTTCTGAAAATAAAATAAAAAGTAACCAAAGGGCGAATTGATTTTTGTTGATTAGGCTATCACACCTTTGTATACGGATTGTAATTCTTTATAAGGAGTATCAAAATTGGTAAAATTAATAACTCTCACCAACTAAATGCGTAACGATCCTGCCCGTCCAAAGACAGACGAGTTGTAATTTTACCGAAGGAGTCGCGTCCTGCAAGGAGGTGTCAATTGTCTGTGCAAACCAGCCTAATACTGGATGCCAATGTGTCAAATTACTCCGTTTGGCGACTACATATTGTTGACATGCTTCCAGCATTCTCGTCACAACGAACTGAAAAGGATTCATGAGACATTATCAATATGCTTGTAAGAGAAAAAAATTACTACTTAATAGCTTACCGTAAAAGAAGGAAAGCACAGCTCTCTCAATACTTCTTCCCTTTCGATATTCGCCAATTGTATCAAATTAGCAAGTAAACAAAGCGCATAACTGCCCTCCAAAGCGTTAAAGACGATCCTTAAATTCTGCTCGGAATTTAGCAACTCCAAACTTCTCGCAAACAGATTATTCGTTGTAAACGATGAAATGCACTATAAATAATATCAGAAACTTTACATATTTAGATTAGAGAAAAAAATATCATGATATATAACAAAGCCTTTAAACATTTTTCTTTCTTTTTTACCTCTGGTGACAAGATATTCAGGTGATAGACCAGAGCTGGTACGCTAAAAATGTTAATTAGAAACAGAGACACCAGTTTGTCGGACATTTGCGAAGAGATCAGTGGTCTCAGTGTCAGAGTAACTGCTGCTGAAAGTGTAACTGGTTTCAAAGCAATTTTCGCTCTACCCAGTCCCTTCATTAAGAGAGCCTGAAATGGAAAACATAGTTTAGAATTGTTAAAGAAAGAACCAAGATCATTAGAAAACTTCTAGTTTGCAATAATGTTACCTGCATAGTAGCATAAAATCCATTGTTAACTAGGTGGCCCATTATGTTTGCGCACAGCTGACTCATGCCAGTCTTTAGCTGGTCCATACCCTTCACCTTCTGTATTGCCCACGTTCCAGGCGATGTGAAACTCACCAGAGTGTGCAGTCGCAGAAGTATGGATTTGTGATCCGATACCCTCTCCGGCTTCAGGCTGTCCAAGCCGGAGAGACAGTGGTATAAAATTGTCTTCATTTGCGATATCCATGATATGTAGTGATCTTTATGGAACGCCACTCCAACGTAAGATATCTTTGGAGACTCGGAGTCGAGAGTCAGGACAAGGTATCTGAAAGATCGTCTTGGTTGAACGATACTCTGGATCTTTGGAAGAATATTTATTGCATGTACTCACCTAAAAATATTCTTTCTTGATCCCTTTCTTTCTTATAAATTATCAAAAATCTAGAAATAGTTCTATACACCTCCAGAGCAAGTTTTAATTCCACTGTTACATTGTCGGCGTTGGGGTCATCAAGGAAATTGTTATCAAACTCTTCTCTAAAAATAAAAACAGTCTTGTCAGATAATTATAATCTTCGTATAAAATTATATAAGCATTCTTTATATCAATATGCTCTTTTATGCTACAAACATAATTCAATTCTTGCAAGAGATAAAAATTTAATTCAAATTTGCTAACTGAAACAATAATCCAAGGCAAATAAAAACATATTTTATATTAATATATTAAGTGTAAGTAAATAGAAATGAATATGTAAAATATCTCTCTTTCTCTTTCTTTCTCTGCACTTTAATGATTTGATTTATCTTCGTATTTGCTTGGAATTCTACGAATCTGACTATCAGCAGTATTTATGTATACCACAGAGATAACTGGATATTTTTATACAGTTATTCTACAATATTGATCAAGTTCAATATCGACAAACTTCTGTTCACACTGTAGCACAAGCATCTTCACATAAACATCAGCTCGCACATATTTGTATGACCATGTGTAATACTGACAGGTAACTCACATCTCCATTTCGCATGGAGAGGCCCTAGGCTTTGTCTCGCACTTACAGTATCCGTTTGGTGAACTGAACACGAGCGAGCCAGGCTCGAACGTGAGCCTGAATCAGAGTAGCCGCGGCTTCTCTGCGCTTTTCATGCGCCCGATCCTCGCGTGCTGCCTTCTTCTGTTGCAGGAAGCTGCCCTTCGACGACGAGCCCTCCGCGCAGAACATCCTTGAGTTCTCGATCACCGATCACCCTTAGGGCTGCGGGGCCCGAACAACCCCCCCTGGACGCCTACGCTTCTCCTCCACCTCCACCTCCTCCGCGTCGTCGTCGTCGTCGCTCGCTGCTAACCGCGAGGCATCTCCGAGGCATCCTCGTCAGCTGACGAGCATCTATCAGTATCCCCCACTACGTATCCTTCTTCTCGTCCGTGCTGTATCGCTCTCAGCTATGTCGGAGTACGCGGCGTATCAGATTAATCCGAATCCGTCTCCACAATGGATTTACTATTGTGGCTTGAGATAGAATTCCAGTGTGCTCCAATCACTTCAATCACTCCAATGTCGCCTTTCTTGAGATATCCTGGTCAGCTGACGGGTATTTACAAACCCCCTCTTTCTCCCAGAAGCGAAAATCACCCGGCAATGACGGACTAGAGGATTTAGCTCCCGAAGCATATCAGATTAAAGATAAATTAAAGATGAAGTAATTTTCCTTAACATTTCGATGAATTTTTTTCCTTCATAATTTACGAAGTAGATTCTACAACCTCCTTTTGTATTTATACACAAATTGCGTATATAATTTTGATGGATCACCCAAAAAAAAAATGAAGGGTATCGATGATTTATAATTATAATATTTATATAATATGGATAGATTTATCTATTTTTACTTGTTTAACCCAAAAAAGATTGAATTACAAAATTAGAAATTTTGTTTTAAGCAATTATATATCGGTTGAAATGTCGATTAATTTAATCAGATTAATTTATAAAATACAATATTTTATTAATATGGATAGAATTATTAATTTTTTGTTGGTTAACAAAATTTAAAGTATTTTTGTCAATAATTTCTACAAATATAGATGAATTTGGAAATCTTTGTTTTTAATTTATTCTTTATTTTTTTCTAATAGGACAAGAAAAAGAAATGAAAACATTTATTCCTATCAATGCATCTCTCAATTTATACGCTTCATCTTTTTTAAATTTTTATAATCAAAAAATATAAAGATTAAATAAGTTAAGAAAATCAATTTAATTGATAAAAAAATGGACATTTAAATCAATCGAATTAACCAAGGTCGGCCTAAAATCGTAATCTTCCTTGAGAATTCGATCACTCGCAAACTGTCTCGAAGTCGTTTCGATATCCTGCGCGTCGACCTATCGAATCCGCTCATCTGCCGCGCTTCACACCGTTCACAACGGCATCTTTCGCATGCGCCGACCCTCAGTCCTCAGTTTGCACCAGAGTGCGCATTGATGCATGTGTATTTGTTTTCTTCTGAATTTCTTCTAAAGAATCCCGGATTTCCACGACGAAGTATTTTTGTTTCGTGATTGCAAGACGGGGAAGAAGACAGCAAGTGTTTCTCATCGAGTGACGGAGAGAAAAGTAGATCAAATTCGCTGTTCATTAGTCCGATTTGTAACGATCGGGCGACCGTCACGGTGACCGTGGGAAAACTCGAAAATGTTCCCACGCTGCCGTTACGTTGCAAGTGTATGTCGCATGTGCGTGTGAAATTCCTCTGGGAGGATACGGAGCAGAGCGCGGGGGTCGCGGAGAGCGACGGGCAAGAGGATGAGCGCCCAGGGGCAGGAGCACGGACACGCGGTGGTCGTCTGGGAGTGGGAGAATCGTCACGGACGTTGGCGGCCTTATAGTCCGGCCGTGTCGCAGCATCTCGAACGGGCCCATTATAAGAAACTCACGCGGGTGTTTCTCAACGACGCGGATCCCAGTCTCGACAGGTCTGAATGACACGCACGACATGCCATTCGATATCACGATCTTGTAGTAGTTGTAGCCCGCCTTAATTGCACTTGTCTCGCGATAAAAAGTGAGGCAGGTGTATGTTTGGGTTTTGTAGAGAAAAAAAGAAAAAAAGAGAGGAAGAGGGAGAAAGAGAGAAAGAGAAGTTGAGAATGGAATGAGCAGATGTATATGACGAACTGTATAATTTTACTATTAGTGATAATTGATTATTTATCGAAAATTTATCAATTGATTGAATTTTTAGGATTATTTTTAAGCTTCAAATTTTGCTTCTTATTTTATTGCGAAAATAATAAAAATGCGATGATTTTTAGTTTATATGTATTATTTTTATTTTATTTTTTAAAATATATTTTTAATATATTTTATATATATATTTATTTTTATTTTGTATATAATTTTTAAAAATATACATATATAAATAATTATATATTTTTCACATTGAATGAAGATTTAAAATTTTGATTTAATACATTTTTATCAATCTTTGTGAACAATTCAGTTGTTAGAATTTTACATGAAAAAAAAAAACAAAAATAAACACGTTAAACTTTACACTTCAATATTCAAAAATTTGAAGACAATAATATACATTGATTTATTTAAAAATTAGGTATTACATCAATTTGAAGACAAAAACACAATGCTGCGACGACGGTGACGAGACGCACAATGTGAGGAGAAAGTTTTATCTGCCAGGTTCACCAGCCGGCAAAGGTGCCAAATGGGAATGGGCAGGTGATTCGGATGATTGGCATACTTATGATATGGAAGTACAATGTCTTATAGAAGAAGCATGGGCGAGAGTAAGCAGACGAATTTCCAAAGTAAACAATTTTTGTGCTCGAGTCTTCTAATGAAAAAAAAAATATTTTTTCCAGGGTGACAAAACTATCGACATTTCCAAAACTTATTTGGGTTTCCCTTATATCATCAATTTCTGCAATCTGACTCAAGTGAGATGTTGTACGGGATATGTAAGGCCGATAAGACGAATACAACAGGCGCCTTATCCACTGGTCAAAGTCGCGCTGGAAGAATTGCAAGTCACTTCCGGGAGGAGATCCGCGTCGGTTACGGTCAAAAGTTCCACCGTCAAAGTTACGCATAAGAAATCGTCTAACGGAAGTACAAAGAAAAACAACAAGAAAGTAAGTTTTTTCTTCAACGCGGTGTTTCTGTATTGAAGACCTCACTTGTGAATTTTTTCAGAGTAAAAGCGGAGAGACGAACGGACCAACGAATATTGCACGTGTTATTCTCAGTAATTTCAACATATTTGGTAGCAAACATGGCATTGAGAACAATCCCGCGGCGACGAATGTGGAGTCCGGTCAGAAGAGGAAGACCTGGGACGCAGTGCTGGACGTCGATTCCAGCAGCACTAAGAGCGGTCGCAGGCCAAGCGTGGACACCGTGTCCACGTATTTGAGTCACGAGAATCCAATAGATTTGCTGGACAGCAGCATGGGAAGCGACGATGCGTTCAAGGATTCCATTCTTGGTGTGTGCTTACAAAAATACATTTATTTGTTTTAGCTATTCAATCATCTATAAATTTATAACTTTGAATTTAATTTTAATGTGAGAAAATAACTTATTCATATATATTCATTTAATTAGAATATAAATTTTAATTTTAGTATTTGAATGCATTTGTATATTTATGTTTAGCTGTCGGGATTTTTTTCAAACATCACAAAGTGAACGTTCGAAACGATACTAATATGTATAATATTAATTACTCTAGAGATGGACGCTACATCGGACGTGATATCCCAGTATGTAAAAGTGGTGGAAAGCGACGGCTCCGATTCGTGTCCGGTATGCCTGGGCGTTCCAGAGCCATTAACGGTCGAACTGACGCGTTGCAGACACAGACTGCACTTGGCGTGTTTGAACGCGATGCTTAGCTCCCAGCAGCCACCCATGTATATACAATGTCCAGTTTGTCGTATGATTTACGGCGAGAAAAGAGGCAATCAGCCGCCGGGCATGATGAACTGGACGCGGATACCGCGAGCATTATCGGGTTTCCCGAACACCAATACTATACAAATTACTTACGAGTGAGTGAGATAAAAAAAAGAAAAAACGAAAATCTTTTCATATAACTCGCGTCATAACGATATTCTTCAAAGATTTCTATCTATCAACAATTTTAAAAGAATTAATTTTAGATTAATTTTATTTGAAGTAAATAAATTTGATACGAATCTAATTTGAGATAAATATTGGATAATAAACGAGAGACTTCATATCTCTTTCTCTGAATAAATATATATATAATATATATAAATATACTTAGGGAGAAATATTTATATCAATTTTCATTTTAATTTTCTCAGCATTCCGTCCGGAATTCAGAGTAACGAACATCCGAATCCGGGTCAAGCATATTATGCCGTGGGCTTCCCCCGTGTATGTTATCTTCCGGATAATAGTCTTGGTCGCCGTGTATTGAGATTGCTGCAAGTCGCGTTTGAACGCAGACTGATCTTCACGATCGGCCGATCGGTCACTACCGGTCGCGAGGACGTCGTCACATGGAACGAGATCCACCACAAGACCGAGCTCGGACCGTCCACATCCAGTCACGGCTACCCTGACCATAGTTACCTCGAAAGAACGCTCGCAGAACTGGCAGCGCAAGGTGTGACTGATGGGCAATGATTGCCGATACATCAACAATTGCATTTATTGAAATTATTAACATATAAATGAAGTGTTTATACAAAAATAAGTTGACCCATGTAATTCTGAGAAAAGAAATCGAGATTTGGCTGTTTGAAATATTGGTTGC